GTAGTCATGGGAAATAAAAGGTATTTGGAGATTAAGAGAGTTGTTAAGTAGAGAAATAGTAGAGTTAAGATGTGAAGAAATAGATGAGTTAAATTTTAGTAAGTATTTAATATATCTGATAATGTTGCCAAGTTTTTTAAGACTAGAGTATAGTAAAAAAGCTTTGCAAGAGAAGATATATTGAAAGTTGTGAACTGTGAATCTTTTGTTAGAGATATGTTTTAAAGCTGCAGAGATAATACTAGTTTGAATTTTGTGCCAAGTAGCTTTAATAGATTTCTCAGTATATAAAGAAAAAGGAGTAGAATTTGACAAAAGATTGTTATGAACTTGGTTAGAAAAGTTTTCTTATTTTGTCAAGTCTATAGTTTTGTAGTTAAAAACTCTATGATGAGTACGAGTTTTGTATCTACGTTGGTCTTGTAGTACGTAGGGGAAGGACTAGCAAGAGATAAGAATTTTATGGTTACTAAGAAAGTTGGCATTGCTATCATCAGTTTCAAAGAAGGTTAGATATGTAAGAATTGTATAGTAGCTCTGGATAAAGTCAATTTTACTACTATATCTAGAGCTCTACCAGGTAGGGGATAATGATAAAATGTGAGTAGCAAGATTATACATATTGTTAAAGATAAGAAATTAAAGCAGTTTGAATTTGTTAGAGGAAGAGAGCATTGATTCTATAGTAGCATTGAAGTCACCAAGGACAACAGAGAGCAGGTTGGAGGAAGTTGCTTGTTGAATCCATTGAATAATAAGGTTTTGAGTATATAATCTAGTAATAGGATTATTACTAGAAAGATAAGTAGAAATAATTTAGAATTTGAAATCATGTTTAAAGAAAATATCTATAAATATGGCATATTCAAAATAGATATTGATTTTGTAGATATAAGGAGTAAGATATTTATGTATCATTATGGCAGTACCAGCCTTGGAGCTATTTGTACATGATTAAAAGTATATATAAGAGGGAGTTGCTAATGGTTTGAAATAGAATGAATTATATGCAAGTTTGGTTTTAGTTAAGCTAATAATATCTAGGTTGTTAGTTAGGCAGTAATCTTTCCAAACTTGTTGTTTAAGTTTTTGGTTGAAGTCACGAATATTGTGAGTACAGATAGAGAGGTTAAGGGGATAATAGATTGGATTAGATGGTGGTGTTGAGAAGTAAGATTGTTTTGATTTAAGAGGGATGTATCTGAACCAGAGAAATAAAGAAGAAAAAGATAGTATAAAGTGATTGGGAAGTGGATATGGCTCATGTAGAAGGTAAATGTGTACCTCTGTATAGTTATTATTATGGTCCTTGTTATTGAGAATTGAGATTTTTATGAGGTTTGGTAAATAGTATGAGGGAAAATCATGACTAATATATTGAAAAAAAGTGAAAATAGTTTGTAGATGTTCTAGTGGGAGTAGTCTTTGGTGAAAGAAAAACTTATTATAGCATATAAGAAGGTCTATAGAACCTAAATCCTTAGTTATTTATATAATAGTTTTGAGTTGTAGGTCATTATGACTGTGTTGAGAATTATCATCAGAGTCAGAGTCTGAAAGTAATTTGTTGTCAGGGTTTAGGTTTGTAAAGAGCTAATTGGTTGAATTTAATGAAGGTAATATTGTTTGTGGATCATAGAAGGCTAATGATATTGAGGATAAAACTACATAGAAAATATCTTCTGTAGCAGTCACTATATGCCTGGCTTGCACAGCTTTGCAAGATTTAAAAGCTCTCAGATAAGATGTTAAAGAGCCATCATTATCTAAATCTTCTGGGTAAAAAAAAAATTAAAGTTTTATAATATTAATAATATTATAAATATAAAAAAAATAAAAAAAACTCTTTTTGATAATCCCTTATACCAACTTTTCCAAAAAGTTTGACCTATAAAAACTAAACAGTTATTTTGTTTGAATATTACAAAACTTCACTAGTAGTAGCTAAAATTAGTGACTATTTACTATATATTGGTGTAAGTGAAATAGATTTGAAAAGAGTCACTCTTGAAAGCAAAGTTACCTGGTAAAAGACTCTGGTGCTACCAAGCAAAGAAGTAGCAGACAGGCTTTGGAGCTTTGTTAAGTACTATAGAAGCTTTGGCAGAAGTAGTTACTTAGTTAGACATAGTACTCTGTATAGTGTAACTCTTACTATCCCCCTTAAGTTGACTACTTTCTATTTTTCTTTCTATATTAAAGTTTTTTTAATAAAAAGTAGGCAATTTGGTTTGCCCTCTCCAATTGATTGACAGTATTTACACAATCTAAATCAAGAAACCGGGAGTCACATATTAATCTCTACATGTGTTCAAAATAAACAATACATATACTGATTACATATGATATATTAGTTATAAATAGTGTAAAAACATTAATACTCAGTATTATATAATTTTTTAGGCTATCGAAGCCACTATAGACTGCATATTTCTTTTTATATTTTTTTTTTTTTTTTTTTTTTTTTTTACCATTTCTTTTATTTTTGTCACCTACTAGAAGTATATTAGGATTACTAATCTTTTTTTTGCTATTCTCATCTTTGTCCATTTATAATTAAGTTATTTTTAGGCTATTTTTCTTTTTCTTTTCTTTTCTTTTTTCTTTTATATGTTTGTTTTTTTTTCTTTTTTTCCTAAATCTCTTTTTTTTTGTAAATATGATATTTATTTTCTTCTCTTATACAAATGTAAGAGATAAACTATTCTGTCCAGATCTAGGTAGGGAAAGTTTTAAAGGAAGATAGGTGGTCCTGACAAGGTATACGATGGCCTACTTATAACCAAGAGGGCACCAGACAATGGTAGAAAATCCTTAGTAAGTTAAAGAACCCAAGGGAGGTAAACAGTTGTTATGGCAGGTCACACTGGGTATTCCACCTAGTAAGTTTTTATTGAGATAGAGCTAAAATTGTAAGAATTTGGTATTTTGTACATAAATGATATAACAGTTTATATAAATAAAAGCAGAATTGCTTTAAAAAAAAATAAAAATAAAAAATAAAAAGAAGTATAAGAAATAAAAAAGAGTATAAAAAGTAAAAGTAGAGGTATACTATATATAAGTTTTTTTTTGTTAGCTTCTATATTATAAAATACAATAAATATAAAATAATAAATATTTGAAATATAAAATAAATATTAAAATACTATATAAAATAAATATCAAAATATAAAATAATTTTTTATTTTATTAGAATTTAATTAGTAAATAAAAAATCTATTTTATATTATTAATAATATATATTGCATAATGTACTATACTATTAAGCTTTCCAAAATTTACAAAATCGATAATCTATCAATTCTAATAAAAGATTAATTTACCAAGTTCGTTTTCGCTATATAAGTTTAATAGTTTACAATGTTTCAAATCTGATACAAAACCTGTTTATCGGTTTTGAGAGGTTTAACAGAATATTGTAGTATTTCAAATTGAAAATTTATTAATTTACACTAGTGTTTATACACGGGTATTAATTTTTGATTTACAAATTCGTGTAACATGCCAATCAAATAATTTTTATAAACGAAAAATTAAACCCTCGTTTATAGTTAGGGTAAGGGTGGGTTTGGGATTGGGGCGAGGGTTAGTTTATACTAAAATTTCGCGAGGAGTTTTTTTTATTAGAAGCCAAAAGGTGGTTTCATAATCAAAAATTCAAGATATCTGTTGGTATTTTATATACCTCGTGTACAAACACCCGTGTACAAATAGAAATTGCCTTTCACATTTTCAAAAAAATTTCCTAAAAATAACTTAAATAAGGAATTATACAAACTTAAATCATATAATTCAGTGTTATTTGTACGTATAAACACGGGTACATATGATAACACAAAATTTTGCTTATGAAACCACTCTTTGGGCTCTAACAAAAAAATACTCCTTGTAAAATTTTAGCATAAATTATAGCTCCTTCCAATCCCAAAGTTAACCCTTAGCATACATAACCTTGAATCGGGTTTAATTTTGGTCTATATATAATTATATATACGTGGGATTTGCAAATCAATTAATTAACGTTAATACGATACGTACCCCGTGTATACGTACACATAGTGTACGTATAAATAGTTTTTTTTTTGCCTTTTATATAATAATGCAATTTTTTTTTAGTAATAGGATTGATACTAAACAGAACCATTGTGGTTGACTTTCAAGTTGTATATGTCAAATTTAGAGGTACGTACTTACGCACTTAGAGCATCCTGCATGATGGGCCTATTCTTTCATACGAAATATATATGTAATATATACTAAATATAGAATTGCATCATTTTACGTACTATACTGTGCAAAATATTTAACGGACTCGACGTACGGATTGTACTTGTATTCCCTCATAATTGGAAGAAGATGTACCTTATAAAATACAACTTCTAATTCTTTTTAAACGGGTCCATTAATGCTTAAATGGAGAATAACAAATATCTTTATTGGTATATAACGGTAATTTTTTTTCGATTTTTTTTTTTAAAAAAAAATTCATTTTTAGCATCAATAACTTCTATAAATAATGGAAATGATTTTCTTTCATTTATATTTTTTGGTGAAATTACCGGGGGCATGTCCGTAACATTTATATTTAAGGTTTCAAATTGTCACGTGTAAACTTAGAAAGAATTTTAAAAATCACATGTGCATAAAACTCACGCCAGAAGTTTCAAATTGAATAGTTCGTTTGAATTTTTTCGTTATAAAAATTTACCAGAGAAGATTTTTTTTGAGGTACATGAATACAATTTGTGCACATGGTTTTTGCACATGCACATGTTTTAAACAACTATATAAACGATTGGCTAATTCATGGTTATTTGTTACCATTCGTGCCTTTGTTTGCGCCAATAAATAGTATATAAACAAATGGATTTGTATATAACATCATTTTGATTCATTTTTGATGTAAAAAAGGATTTCTACTTTTTTATTTTTTTTTTGGCTGGCATGTCTGTACAACTGAATTTTGTTAATTTTATACACAGCATTTAAAATACGAAATGAATCTTGAAGAAATTACACTGGATTTGCCCAAAGTTCAAGAGCCAAAAAAATTAGACGTACTTATACATGTTGGTAACCCACCAAATTCAGCAACAATAAAAGAAAATTCAGAAATTTTAAAAGATCGATGTGAATACTTTCGTACCCATTTGAATGATGAATTGGCAAAAACAAAAGATGGATTGATGGTGATTAATTTACCATCTATTTCTCCAGAAGTTTTTTATTTCATTCTAGAGTAATTATTCTTACATATTTATTTTTTTTAGAGAATTTTATCAATTCACGATTCTATTAACCTCTTTTAATAATTAATTTTATAACATATTATAGTTATATTAGAGACGGTTGGAAGACTTTTGGATGTCGACAAGATGATGGAAAAAACACACTAGATCGATTAATAGCTCTTGAAGAATTAGGAATACAAGAATTGCTCACTCCCGGTCAAGAATATTTAGTTAAAAACCAGTCAGGTTGGATTCGGGATAATTTCGCACTTGTTTATAAAACTACAGCAAAAATACCATCATTGGACATTTTACGAAAATACGTACTTGGAATATTACGCCAACAACCTCGATTATTACTTAATCCAAAAGACATTAAACATTTGGAGAAAGAGGTTTTAATATGGTTGTTAAAAAAAGAGGACGTCCAAATGGATGAATTAGAGATCTGGCAAAATGTGGTTTTTTGGGGAATTGGACAGAACCCTTCGTTAGGTCCTAAAATATCATCGTGGACATCGGAAGAAATGAATTTGTTCGGTGAAACCATAGGACCTTGTCTTCAATTAATAAGATTTGAACACATTTCAAATGAAGATTTTTGTAGGATAGTATTACCTTTTCAAAGGTTTCTTTCGCCAGAACAACAACGTCCACCACGTATCAATTCTTCCGAAGATACATTAAATAGTGGCGGTTCGTTTCCTCGCTTGACGCGACCGAGACGAACGGCATTTATAGATTCAAATATTATTAGCATTTCTCATGCTGCTTTGATAGCAAGTTGGATAAAGCATAAACCATCAATAAATTCGCAAGTTAGAACAAACCTAAAATTTCAAAAACCATCATCAATTCCTTATAGTTTTCAACTTTTATATCGAGCGAGTAGAGATGGATTTTCTACTAAGGTATTTCATAAATGTGTTGATAATTGCCTAAACCCGACATTCACTATTATAAAATTAAAACTCTCATCACAAATAATTGGTGGTTTCACATCAAAATCATGGCAATCACCACCATTAAATTTATCTAAGATTGTAAATGATCATGAATCATTTATATTTTCATTATGCGATCCAAGTGGAGATGAAAAATTTGCGGACTTTAGCAGGCCTAAGTCAGGTTATTATCCTTATATGTTTAGTTCAAAATATATATATTATGGGAAAAATGCTATTAAGTTAAATAAATCAAGACCTTCTTTCGGAAGAACCGATTTACAAATAAGAGATGATGGTGTTTGTTTTTGCAAAGTTTGTGATTATGATAAAGCCATTACTTGGGGTAGTGGAAAGTTCGAAATGGAAGAATGTGAAGTATTTAGCGTTAAGCGAAAAGATAAAATTCATTAATTTAAAAATTCTATTATGATAAATATTTTATATTAGATATTGTTTATATGCTGTCAATTATATATATCATTAAATAAAGAAAAAAAAACCAAAATATTTAATTATTATATATTAAACTTTATATATTTATTTATTTATTTATTTATTAGAAGTGGATATAAAACGATAAAATCGTACAGTAGGTGTTGGTTTGGTGTATTAGTGGAAGCTTGACACATGGATTTTTGTACGGCACGATTCCCCAAAAGTTATTTACTCGCCAACTCATTTCCCCGACACCATAATGCCGACATGCTATTTCATTTATAGCATTTTTTTATTAATAAGACATATGTTTGACATTACATTTTTTTCGCAATACTTTTCTTAGACAAGACATTTCTCGACAATCATTTCCCGACATATAATTCTAACCAACACTAACTCTAAATCGGGCCAATTTTATGTCGAAGAAATGATTGTCGAGGAGATTCGAAAATATGTAATGTCGAATATATGTCTTATCGAAAAAATGTGCAGTATAAATGAGTTGGCGGGTAATAACTTTTGGGGAATTGAGCAATGATGCCGGGATATTATTTCGAAAATCGAGATTCTTTAAAGATAGTATATATACTTAATTTCATAATAACGCGTCAAAATAACGCGCACCTCATATAGCATATAATAAACAGATTTATGATAGAGCAATAATCAGGTTTAAAAAATTATACATTACTAATATGCAGTGTGATTTGATGGTTTATCCGGAAAAATGAAAATATATTAACTCTAATAATACTGTATCTTTAGATTTCTTGTATTCCACGTATTGCATTATTGAATCACACTAATCGGCATATTACTGGTGCATGTCTAATTAGAACTTCACTTCGAAGTCGTGATTATATTAAATGTTTGCACGAACCACTAGACAACTTTCATATGTACTTTGTGAAGCAACGGAATAAGCAGCCTAGATCCTGCACAATGTGGACGATACAGTCGTGCTTCATAGTAAATGAGCAACCAAACAGAGAAGGTTACAATCTATCATCGGAGTTTGAACAACATTCAAATCCTGGTAATCTCCTGACTGATTTGTTTTCTTGATTGAAAATCATTATATATCGTTATCTTATGTATGTACACACGTACAAGTTTCTTATTTGTAATTCTGT